TACCACCCCCTCCACCACCACCACCACTACCACCATCACCCCCACCACTACCTCCATCACCCCCACCACTACCTCCACCACCATCACCCTCACCACTACCATCACCCCCACCACTACCACCATCACCTCCACCCCTACCACTACCTCCACTACCTCCACCACCATCACCCGCACCACTACCATCACCCCCACCACTACCACCATCCCCCCCACCACTACCTCCATCACCCCCACCACTACCACCATCACCCCCACCCCTACCACCATCACCTCCACCACTACCACCATCACCACTACCACCATCACCTCCACCACTACCACCACCTCCATCACCACCACCACTACCACCATCACCCCCACCACTACCTCCATCACCCCCACCACTACCTCCACCACCATCACCCTCACCACTACCATCACCCCCACCACTACCACCATCACCTCCACCCCTACCACTACCTCCACTACCTCCACCACCATCACCCTCACCACTACCACCATCACCCCCACCACTACCACCATTACCACCACCACTACCTCCATCACCCCCACCACTACCTCCACCTCCATCACCACCACCACCATCACCAGCACCACCTTTATGGGGTATCCCTCCCTGACTTCAGGCCAGCTTCCAAGCTGAAGAAGTCATAACTATCTGCAGGCGGAGAAGCAGCTAGAGGAAGGGGCGGCCTCCAGCCATCTCTGTGGGGCTTCAGTATTTGTTTTGTCCCTCTGCCCTCAAGTTCCAGTGTTTTCTGTTTCTTGCATCTTGACTCTCCCACTCAAGGCATTTCCATACAGAAACTATGTCTATACCCCCAGCTTCTCACTGATACTCCTAACATGCTGTGGAAAGAGGCCTCTGTTAGTCATGGTGACTTCCATGCATGGGGGACCTCCTGGTTCTGGCCCATCGGGTTCCATGCCACCTCCTACTTCAGTGTTCTCACTTGTAAGATGGAATGAAGGTGATTACCTGTGTGGGGTGCACATGGACAGCCAGTGAGTAGTCAGGGGCAGCTGCAGGTCAGAATGGCCCAGACTCAGGACACTGGCAGTAAGGCCTTTGGGGGCACACCAGGCCACCAGTGTTGGGTGTCCTAGGACCTGAACTGATGGCAGTGTGGGGAATCTGCTAGTGGGCATGGCCTGGTGCAGTCCACCTCCTCCTAAAGCCGCTTTGTTCCTTTCTCCCCAGTTCCTCCGGGCACCTGTCACATGGGTGATGGGATGAACTATGGCAACAACGGAGGGTCCAAGGGCCGCAACACTGCCTGACATGGAAGGCTGGGTAGTTGCAGGCACCTGGCTGGCAGTTGCAGAAAATGCTGCTTGCCAGAGCCTCTGGGACAGAGGAAGAGGTGGTCTGGAGGCCCTGTAGCCACAAGACACCAGGCCAAATTGAGGCATGGCTACCCACCCACCTCCAGGTGTGGGTAATAAGTGGCTCCTCAGAGAAATCTGGATCCGAGGGTCCAGGGACCGACCTCCCCAAACAAGATGTCTTATGGAGGAGACAGCCTTATGGAGGAGGAGGTGGACCATCATTCTGTTCCTGTGATGGTTGTAGTCACTGGCTTGGGTTGCCGTGACAGTGCCCCAGTCAGCTTGCTGAACAACAGACATTTATGTCTTGCAGTTCAACAACAGGTTGGACCCTGAGGCCTTTCTTCCTGTGAAGACAGCCTTCGTGTGTCCTCACATGCTCTTATGAGGACACAGGAAAATACAGGTGCATACGATTCTGGGGGTTAGAACTGCAGCCTGACTTCTGGGAAAACTTTCAGATGAGTGTGTGAGGCTGAGAATGTGGCCTGGGAGCCACACCCAGATCCCCTCCTGGCTCCATCCAGCTCTGTGCTAGCCCCTGTAAGATCTAACATTTCCATTTTTGCCCTACAGAATGCTGGACATGCCCACAGGCAGTCAGGCTGAAGGGGAGGGGGCTGTTATTCCCAAGGGACCCTAGGTCTGACCTTTCTGCCCATCCCACCATGTCTCACCATGCCCTGCATTTCAGGGCAGATGGCTTGGGTGTGTGACAGGGGTAGGCCCTGCACCTTGGGGCTAATCTTATACCCTTATAGGCTCTTTCCCTGCATCATCCACCCACTTCTTCCAGCCAGACCAGGGAGGTAGGGAAGCTGCCCATGTGCTCTCAAGATGCATGCCCTCTGGACTGCCCATCCTCTCCTCTTCCCACCTGGGCTCCTGGCCTATGTATCCCCCACATTTAATAAATGGCCTGTCTCAAAGCACTCTACCTCCCGCCTTGTACCAGCCCCACCCCAGTCTCCCATTCACCATGTGCTGCTGGATTCATCACCAGTCACAGTCCCTCCTTTGGAAGTCAAGGTGTGGGTATCCCTGAATCCCAACACCAGTACCTGGTCACAGCTGTGAATCTGTTGACCCTACCACTTTTGGCCACCTACCTCTTTCCCTCGTCATGCGGCGTACCACCACACCCCTGCCCCACCTTGCCTCCAAGCTTCATGCCCTCCTCCCCTCTGCCAAGAAACTTGACCAAAACAAAGGTCTGAGCAGTCCCAACATTCCCTTCTTGGTGCATCTCATGCAGAAGGGGGCAAATGTATCCAGGACACACAGCAGGCGCTCCACCACATTCGTACTCAGTATCATAAAGGAAAGGTAAGACTGGTCCACACAGAGAGCTGGCACCACTGGAGGCTTGTGGAAACAGCCCCTGGGTAAATGATAAATTCCAGAGGGAAAATACACAGGACAGAAAAATGAGTCAAAGAAAACCCTGGTGAACAAGTGAGGGCTGTGTGCAGGGGCTGAGGAGCTGGCCCTGGTCAAAGAAACTGCAGCCAGTGGTCGTGTGTGTGTGTGGCCAGTGGCGGTAGACACAGACCTGATTTGGTGGACCTGGATGGCTCCTTTGGGAGTCATCCTCGGCAGTGGCTCCTGCTTCACATAGGTGTTAAGGTGTTCACTGCTAAATAACCTTGCAGAGAGTCACAGAAGCCATAATGTCTGGTGACCTGACAGCATCGGGTGTGACACCCAGTTTCAACGTTAATCCTGTGCATCACCCAACACCCTGCACGCAAATGGCTGTGAAAGAGATGCACACACTGAACAAGAAAGGCTCTGCTGGCCACACAGCCGTCCCACCAATGTCCCGCCACACAGCTTGTGTTCCAGAGTCCCCCAGAACGGGATCTTTGAGGGCAACAGCCCCCCTTCATTTTCTTAAGGGCCAAGCCTTGAATAAACCTGATGTCTTTCCCACTGGCTCTCGGACCCAGACAGACTTGGGTCTGGCAAGTTACACAAATGGCTAAAGAGTCTGTGGAAAAAAAGTGTGAAGTCTCTCTAGCCACCAGGAAATGCAGATTAGTACTGAGATACCACCCCACACCTGAAATGAAAAGATGACAATGGCGAACAGCAGCGAGATGCAGCCACCTCAAGGCTCATCACTTATCACTGTCTGCCATGCAGTCCAGGCTGGCTTTGATTCATGATTCTACCTCAGCTTCCTGAGTGCTGGATTATAGGCGTGTGCCACCATGCCCAACTGGGATTGGCAATTTCTAATGAAGTTAAATACACTACCTGTCATCTGACCCAACAATTCTATCAGTGGGCGTTGCTTGGGAAATGAAATGTCTGCCCTCAAAAAGACACTAAAAGGGGGCTGGAGAGACGGCTCAGCAGTTAAGGGCACTGACTACTCTTGCAGAGGGGCTGGGTTCGATTCCCTACATGGCATCTAACAATCATCTGTAACTCCAGTTCCAGGGAATTCAATACCTTCTGACCTCTGCAGGTACTGCAGGAAATGGGTGCACTTACATGCAGGCAATACACCATAAGAATACATAAAAGTTAAAAAAAAAACACACTATAATGCACAGTACCTTCAGCCGTTACTGCCACAAAGCTAGAAAGTGTCCTCATGGCCACAGGTGGACGCTCAGAGGGGAGTACTAATGCAGGACACTGGTGGCGTGGAAAGTGAAGTGGTACACAGGAGGGCGCACAGATCCCTCTGCAGCCGGGGAAGCCAGACCCTGCAAGCTGCACACCTGCGCCTGACTCAGGCCACATGCAGACAGAGCAAGTTGGAGGCAAGGAGACGGGGCAAAAGGTGCTGAGGGCAGGTGAACCTCCACTTGGAATTTATGGAAGACTCCTGGGCTGACAGAAACGTGTTACACGGGTGTATCATCGGCTAAAATCTGTGTGAAGATTTTACATTTTGGTGTGGGGTATAAACAGAACTTGCAGGTCCCAGGGTGGTGGAGAGTGTCAGGAAGGGAGTTGCTGAGGTCAGCAGTGGGCATGCAGCGCTCGCTGAACTTAAAGCTTTGGCACAGCTTTAGACGTTCCGTAAATAGAACACACACAAAGACAGCATTTTGAAGGAGAGAAAAGATAAAACACTTTGTGTCTTACTATCTGCTGCAGAGCCACCCCGAGATCAGGGAGCCAGCACTGGCCGTCTACAGAGGGCAGCATGGCACAGAAAACGAGATCTGTCTCCTCACAAGGACACCAGTCCATTACAGGGGCCCCACACTCATGAACCTATCCAGGCTTCATTTCCTCCACAAAGTCCATCTCCAAACACCACTATCTTGGGGCCTAGGAGTCATGAATTTGGGCACACACAGTCCCAAACTTTGTGCCATGTTTTATTGGTGAAGCTTTGGGGCAATAGCACTCATCTGTTCCTGGTAGGGTAGAAACGGACACATCTAATTTGGGAGACAATTTGAGCATGGCCATTCACACTATAATCATTGGAGTGCGTTCCCCAGCTGTCCTAGGACTCAGTCCCTCGGATAAGTGTACAGAGGAACGAAGTGCCTTTGGCAGAAGAACACTTGTCAGGACACTGTCCAATATGGCAAGACATTGAAGATGTAAATATCCACTGAATGGAACACAATAGTACCATCAAAACCAAAATGCCTCATGAAAGCATCCCAAAAATACTAAGTGGAAGTTACAAGGTGCAGAATGTGATTGTATGCTGCCCTCCCTTGATGTAAAAATGGGAGAAAGTACATGCTCACAAATATGCATTTAGACATGTATAAAGTGTTTCTGGACAGGTATTAAAGATGTGATCGCATTATGGCAAGAGGATTTGGCATCTGGAAGATAAGGATGTGAGGCAGCCCTTTAAACATCTGCATCACGCACCCAATCGTCATTTACCGTTTTGAAGTACATTAAAGCTTAAACTTGTGCTTTACCTGTATCTACCTCCATTTTTCTCCTATTGCCAGCAAGATTTCTCTCGTGACTGACCAATTGTGTACCTTGTGTTTTTTTTTTGAAGGTTCTACATATTTATTATTGAACCAATCAATTCACTCATACAAAGCAGATTTAAAAAAAGCAAGTCAGATTCCTGATTTGACCAAATCTCCAGGATAAAACCTTTCAGCTCCGTTTGGTAGGCCTGATGATGGCCATGATTCAGCTTAAACAGCAGTCGTGCCTTGGTATGTGAATCCTCACAGACCCAGCTTGGTTCTCTTCCAGTGTCTTCTCTTGGAGCTGCACCTGGTTTTGTTACTGGCTTTTGTCTGAATCCACTGGGGAATAGGATGATTTTGCTTTTGTCTCTCAGCCAGGAATCGCTTGATTCTGAAAGTCTTGTGAGAAGACTTGATGAGACGCCCAGACAAGCGTGTGAATTTCATACAATAGATTTAGATCACATTTAGATCCATCTGCACCCACTTTTTAAAAATATTTTATTTTTTATTTTATGTGTATGCATGTATTGCCTGCATGTAGGAAAGTGCACCCATGTCGTGCAGTGCCCTCGGAGGTCAGAAGAGGCTGTTGGATCCCCTGGGACTGAAATTACAGTTAGCTGCCATGTGTGCACCCACTTTTTAAAAACATAGGTTGTGACTGAACTCAGGCACTCACACAAGGCAAGCTACCAGCTACCTCCCCAGTCTCCATTTCTCACCTGTACTGCTTTATGGTCGGCTCACACCGCATACTTACACACCGCATACTTACCAACTCTCCCAGGGATGGGCACCTGGGCTGCTTCGTCTTCTGAAAGCAGCTGCAGCAAACGGCCTTGACCAACACTGAGCAGTATACACAGCAGGCAACAACTCCCAGACTGAACTCCTGGACCACAGGGAAGACCCCTCTCCTCCCTCAAAGGGTGGCAACATGCCTGCTCAGGAGTTCTCTCTCTGCCTCCCTGCAGCCTATGCTGACCAACCTCAGGAATTTTCCAAATCAGTACACTGCCATGGGGTTTTTCTCATTATGAGATCATCTCTTCTAAGTTCATGGTCATTTGTATTCTGTCTGGATCAAGTCTGCTCACTTTGGACCACTTTCCTATTGAGGCTTTTTTCTTTAGACAGGGTCTCACTATGTAGCCCCAGCTGGCGTGGAACTCGCTAAACAGACTGTCCCAAACTGCCTTAAATTCAGTGATCCTCCTACCTCTGCCTCCTGAGTGCTGGCATTAAAGGCATGTGCCACCATGCCTGGCTCCTACTGAGTTGTTAAAGGATTGCTTCACTGATAGTCCTTCTGATCGGCTTCTGTGAAGGTGTAGCTCTAGGTATGGCACCACTCAGAGGGTCAACAGCCCTTATCAGCACACACACCTCAAGGGGCAATCCTGTGCAAATCCATGTGTGGAGGTGCTGGGTCCTCTCCCACCTCAGCACCTTCTGGCAGCTAGGCTATCTTCTGGAACCAGTAACAGATTTTCCTCCCAGTCCCACTGGCCCCCGCTCATTCCCTTTAGATTCTCATTTTCTTGGTTAGGTTAATGTCTGCTTTCCAGGTGACCTCTGACATCTGAGTATCTGGCTCACAGAGGAAAGTGCTCTGATCCACTCCAGAGAGCTTCTTCCAAAGCTCTACCAGGCCCTCGACAGAACCAGCAGCACCCACTGGGTTACCCAGTGAAGCAGAGGCGGTTGTGAGCTGCACTCCAAAGGAGCCCTCCACTCCCTCCTCCCCCTCCCTCCTCCCCAGCCTCTTGGTTTTCTTTCCACCACCAGCTGCTCCTCCTCAGGCTTTTCTTGGCTCCTTCATTCTATCCAGGGTTCACACGAGAATGGGTATTCCTGGGCTTCAGACCTTGCTCTCTTCTGGTGTATTCTGACTGTTCCTTAGGGACAGTCATCGGTCCCCTTGTGACAAGGTCCACCTCTTCCTTCCTGGGGCCTCCTAAATGGACCTCCCAGACATCTAGAGCAGGCAGAAAGCCTCTTCCCAATTCCTTTGCATTTTCTTATCCTTGTGAGGGAGGGAAGAAGCCCCCCCCCCAACACTCTCTACAGCCTATCTTGGAGCTTGGAAGCTGCAGGCCTGGGGAACTGGGGAACAGAGAACTTGGGGGGATTTGGAATTTTCAAGTCTGGGGAGCTGGGGGCCAGGGGGCTTAAGGGTCTAGGAAACTGGGGCCTTAGGGGTTGGTAGGTCTGGGGAGGTGGGGGCCAGGGACCTTAGGGCTGAGAGGTCTGGGGAGCCAGGGGACAGGGACCCTTAGGGCTGAGAGGTCTGGGGAGCCAGGGGACAGGGACCCTTAGGGCTGAGAGGTCTAGGGGAGCTGGGGGCCAGGGGCCTTAGGGCTGCGAGGTTTGGGGAGCTGGGAGGTTTGGGGCCTTAGGACTGGGAGATCTGGGGAACTGGGGGCTTAAGGCTGTAAAGTCTGAGGAACTAGGGTGCTTAGGACTGGGAGGTCTAGAGAGCTGGGGGGCAAGGTCCTTAGGACGCTGGGGGATAGGGACCTTAGGACTTGGAGGTTTGGGGAGCTGGGGGCCGGGACATCTCCAATCACCCCGCGACTCCCAGCCCTACAGCCGACCTGCGTCCTCCTCTCCCGCAGCTCCGGAAGGTTGAGGAGTGAGGCAGGCCTACAGCTGCACAGCGTCTTCCAACCCGCTGCTCCCCTGAACAGAGCCCGCCCAACACCACTCACCGCAGGAGACACCAGGAAGCTGCGCCCCTGACTGTTACCGCGGAGCCCCGCGCATGCGCACTCCTCCACCCCACCCCCCGGCACGTGGCCTCTGGGAGTGCTACCCTAGCTGCACCGTGCAGAAGCCGGAGCCGGGAGAGCTAAGGTTCCTTCGTGTCCGCCTGAGTCAGTGCTCCGCTGGTCACGTGATTACCCAGCTCTCCCTCCCACGCGGGCATCTACGCGGACCGCGGTATTCGCAGAACATCCCCGGTGCTGACGCTCCGTTACGTGGCCTTTGAACCCTTCACCGTCTGCCTCCGCATTTGGAGACACTGAGGCAGAACCCCAGGCTCAGTACTAGGCCGGTTCTGCCTAGTGAAAGTGGAGGCGGAAGGCACCTCCAGAGCCCTGGGGCTGGAGATGGCTCAGTGGATATGACCATTGGTACTCCTCCAAAGAACTGAGTTCAGGCCCCAGCACCCATGCCTGACAGGTCACAGCTGCCTGTAACTCTTAACTCCAGGGAATCCAGCACCCTTTTTGGCCTGCGTGTGCGCGCGCGCGCACACACACCCACCCACCTAAACAAGAACAACATAGCTCTCACCTCGAAAGGAATGAGACCGTTCATTTTGGAGCCATTGTTACAGAATGTTCTAATTTGCTTTCAGCTGCTGTGACAAAACACTCTGACCAGTACCAACTGGGGAGGAAAGGGTTTTTATTTGGCTCACATCTCCCGGGTCACAGTTCATCACTGAGGGAGCCCAAGGTAGGGACTCAGGCAGGAACCTGGAAGCAGGAGCTGGAGCACAGGCCATGGAGGAACTCTGCTCACTGGCTTGCTCCCCTGGCCCCTGCTCAACCTGCTTTTTTTTTTTTTTTTTTTTGGTCTTTTTGAGACAGGGTCTCCCTGAAGCCCCAGCTGTCCTGGAACTCACTATGTAGACCAGGCTGGCATTGAACTCACAGAGATCCACCTGCCTCTGCCTCCCAAGTGCTGGGACTACAAGCGTGCACCACCACACCCAGCTCAGCTTGCTTTCTTACATAACACAAGATCACTGCCCACAGTGGGCTGGGCCCTCCCACATCACTCAACAATCATGAAAATACTTCATAGATATGAGCATAGGCCAGTCCAATGGAGGCAATTCCCCAACTGAGGCTCCCTCTACCCAGGTGTGTCAAGTCAACAACTAAAGCATCCAGCTCACAAAACAAAAGGTCATAAAACCAAGGCATTCTTCAAATATATTGGTGTAAATATTAGGTAGGTAGGTTACAGCACAGCCAAGTGGGGGAAAATATCTACTAAAGGCCTCAGAGACTATCTGATAACATTCTTAGCTTTTGGGTTAATGGAAGCTGGTATTGTCTGTTAATACATTCCAAAAGGATTTACCTGATAGTCACAAGGATGTTAGGTGACACGGAGTTGAGCAATGTCTGGCTATTAGGGGACCCAAAGATAATCCAAGATGATTCAGCTCTGAATCTGCAACATTCCAACTCTCCACAATCATGGAAGTTCTAGTCAGCCTTGTAGAATCTTTAACATAAATTCTCCCCTCCCCCTACTCACAACAGAAAGCCCACATACTGATGGCTCTGATCTGTATATGTCTTATGAGGCCTCATACCATCTCTGGAGCCCTCAACACTACAGATAAGTAAGGTCTACCTTACATCCTCCTTGCTCAGCTCTCATTTGAAGGATGTTGGGATGCTCTCAGCCTGGCCCTCAACATTGCCCATAGCTGCCCCAGGTCTATAGACAGGATCCCTGCTCTCAGCCTGGTTGGGCTCACCTCTGGGGAAGGCATTGTTGATGATGGCTGTTGGCTGCCAAGCCGGACCCTCACCATGATGCTGCAGGCTGTGGGCAGGGAGTTCAGATGGGTGTGGCTTTCTCTCCAGGGTGGGGAAAAAATTGTAGGAAGAAGTCAGAACTCATCTCCAAAGGCCCAAGCACCTGAGGTCTGGGAGGAAAGCTGCACCCCTTTACAGCCCTGTTCAGAGCTCATTCTGGTGTAAACCGAGGAACCCTGACTGCTGCATTCCTGGTTTCCACGTGTTTTTTTGTTTGTTTGTTTGTTTTTTTAGTCTTTTTGAGACAGGGTTTCCCTGTAACCCCAGCTGTCCTGGAACTCACTATGCAGACCAGGCTGGCCTTGAACTCACAGAGATCTGCCTGCCTCTGCCTCCTGAGTGCTGGGATTAAAGGTGTGTGCCACCATGCCCAGCTATTATTTAATTCTTGACTTCAATAGTTGCCTTGAAAAATCACTAAATGACCCTACATGCTTTTGTGTTATTTCTTTAACATTCAGAGTTGTAGGCAGCATCATGTAATTGGCTATGGAGACTCCCGATGACCAAGCACCAGCTACTAGGGGATGGGAAGAAGAAAGATTTTGTGTACCAGGAGTTTCATAAAGAACATCACAAGAGGGGCTAGAGGGATGGCTCAGTGGTTAACAGCACTAGATGCTCTTTCAGAGGACCACAATTTGGTTCCCAGCACCCACATGGTGGCTAACAACCATCCATAACTCCAGTTCCAGGGGATCCGAAGCCCTCTTCTGATCTCCACAGGCATTGCACAACACAGATGTACTTACATGCATGCAGGCAATACACTCATGCACATAAAATAAAAACAATAAATAAAATACTTTTAAAAAGAAGAAAATTAGTGTCCAGTATGGTAGTGCATACCTTTAATCCCAGCACTTGGGAAGCAGAGGTAGTTGAATCTCTGTTTGAGGACAGGCATGCCTGGTGAGACCACAACAGCCCAGCCAGCACATTATGTCGCTGTTTCCTCTGAATTGAGACATTACCCACACACATAGGAAGGAAGAAAACTCATAAGACTCGTAAGCCCCTGCCCCCAGGTTCGATGAGCACCAAGCAATGGCTGGGGAAGAGAAGACTCTTGGTGGAGTTACAAGTTGGACAGGAAGCTCCAGGGAGGAAGGTTTGTGAGTTCTCAACCATGCTGGGGTGGGAATGTTTGTGCTCGCCCATGCTGGGGTGGGAATGTTTGTGCTCGCCCATGCTGGGGTGGGAAGGTTTGTGCTCGCCCATGCTGGGGTGGGAAGGTTTGTGCTCGCCCATGCTGGGGTGGGAAGGTTTGTGCTCGCCCATGCTGGGGTGGGAAGGTTTGTGCTCGCCCATGCTGGGGTGGGCTTAGGTTATTCAGCTGCCTCTGAATGCCCATCATCTTGTTTTGTTTGTTTGTTTGTTTTTTGGTCTTTTGAAACAGGGCCTCTCTGTAGCCCCAGCCGGTCTGGAACTCACTGTGTACACCAGACTGGCCTTGAATTTATAGAGATCCGCCTGCCTCTGCCTCCCAAGTGCTGGAACTACAAGGCCACCACGCCTGGCCTATGCCCATGAACTTGTAATACAGAAAAAAATGAATCGGGTCGCCAACCTGGATGTGAGTGGAGTTATTTCATTGGTCTGTGGTTGGTGCCCTGTCTGAGGTGAGCAGACATTTGTTCACATCCTCTTCCCACCTTTGCAAGTCCATGGCTTTTCCTTTGTGACCACAAGACAGTTGCCACAGCTCCAGATACCTCATATTCAACCTAGAGAGGGAAAGGCTAGTGTGCTGGATAGCTTTAGTGTCAACTTGACACACCTGGGTTGAGGGAGCCTTAGTTGGGGAATTGCCTCTATTGGACTGGCCTGTGGCCATGTCTGAAGGGCATCTTCTTGATGAGTGATGTGGGAGGGCCCAGCCCATTGTGGGTGGTGCCACCCCTGGGCAGGTGGGCCTGTGTTGCATAAGAAAGCAGGCTGAGCAGGGGCCAAGGAAGCAAGCCTGTAAGCAGCGTTCCTCCATGGTCTGTGCTCCAGCTCCTGCTTCCAGGTTCCTGCCCTGAGTTCCTACCTTGGGCTCCCTGATGAACTGCGACCTGGGAGATGTAAGACAAATAAACCCTTTCCTCCCCAAGTTGGTACTGGTCAGAGTGTTTCGTCACAGCAATGAAGAAACAAACTAAGACAGCTAGTGAGGAGATTCTGTCTCTTTTATCATGGAGACAAAATCCCAGTGTGTTTTTCATATGGAGAAAGCGGGGTCCCCTTTCAGGGTTATTAGTCGCATTTATAAAGGAATTTAGAAATGGACTCAAATGGAAGCTTGAGGACAGTTTTATTTAATTTAAAGTTCACAGAGCATATAAGTTGTGACTCTCAGCTAGTAGCCACATGGTAGGGAGTTTTAAAGAAAAAGTCTCCAGAAAAGTAGGGAGACTTACAGAGGGCTATGTGTCTGTGGCTCGGTTCATAAGCATGGCTCTAGGGGGTGGGGATTCCCACCAGGAAAAGCTTAAGATCTGGCTAACCCATACCCATACACTCATACCCGTTAGGTATCTAACCTTAGCATGATTTACATGAGCCTGCCTTCCCTGGGGAGGTCCTGTGACCACGTGATTGACCAGGAAAAACTGGGAAGAGAAGGCTCCACCCAGGCCAAGATTCTTACTCTCTTGACCAGTGCTCATGTAAGGGCCTTTTTTTTTTTGCTACTGTAACACTTGGACTTGTGTCTCACCGTCCAGAACTGAGTCATAATTCTGCACTGTCCGGAGAGGTGGCCTCTAATCTTTCCCAGCATTCGTCTCTGATTGTTATAACAAAACACCTGACAAAAGTAACTTAAAGGAAAGAGAGTCTGTTTGGCTCGCAGCTTGGGGGCATGTAGGCGTCCATCAGGGAGGGGGCGGAATAGCAGCAAATGCAGTTTTAGCTGTGGCTGCAGGAGCATGAGGCAGTTGGTCACATTGCTCCCTCAATCTGGAAGCAGAGAGGTGACTGCTGGGTCACGCCTCACTTTCTCATGGAATCCGGCTCATGGGATGGCGCCGCCTACATTCAGGGCAGGTCTTCCTCAGTTAAACCTCTTTGGAAAGACTTTCATAGACTTGTCCAGAGCCGTGTCTCCTAAGCAATTCCAAATTCAGATGAGCTGACACAGTGAGGATGCAGCATCACAGCCTCCTGTTGTTACAAGGGGCGTCTGTCTGGCCTGCTTTGTGGCAGGAGGCTGG